GGCCCCGACCCGGCGGGCGAGGAGCGGCGGCTGCGGGCGCTGGGCGCCGAGTTCCGGCGGGCGGCGCGCGGCGGGCTGCTCACCTTCCACGGCCCGGGCCAGCTGCTGGCCTACCCGGTGCTGGACCTGCGGCGCCTCGGCCTCTCGCTGCGCGCCTACGTGGGGGCGCTGGAGGCCGCGGCGCTGGGCCTCTGCCGCCGCCTGGGCCTGCCCGCCGCGCGCGCCCGGCCGCCGCCCTACACCGGCGTGTGGCTGCGGGGCCGCAAGCTCTGCGCCGTGGGTGAGCGCCGGGCCGGGATCCGGGATCCGGGGAGAGGCGGGGGGCGGGAAAAGTGCGGGGTTCGGGGGGTCCCGGGGCAGGAAGGGAGTGAGGGGAACACGGGGGGTACAGGGGGCTCGGGGTCCCTGGGGAGGAGGCAAGAAGAGGGGGGTAGGAGAGAGGTGGGGGTTGGGGGATGTAGTTGGCTCCGGGTCCCTGGGGAGGAGGCAGGAAGAGGGGTGGGGGTAAAATGGGGGACAGGAGAGAGGTGGGGATGTGGGGGGCTCAGGGTCCCTGGGGAGGAGGCAGGAAGAGGGGTGCAGGGGAAATGGGGGTAGCAGTTGTGGGCTGCCGGGGCTCAGGGGGTCCCTGAGGAGAAGGCAGGAGGGTTGAGGAGGTCATGGGGGGCAGCAGAGAGGTAGAGGATCAGGGGACAAGTGGAGACTTGGGGAGCTCCTGGGAAGTTGGCAGGAGATGGGGCTGAGTGGCCTTGAGTGAGTTAAGAGTAGTTTCAGGTTTTGCACCCGCCCAAGTGCCCCACCAGTGTTCGTGGTTTTATGATCACAAGCCCTGATGCTGCAATGAACCGCACAGACTCCAGTGGGGCTCAGCACGGATGCAGGGATCCACCCATGGGGTTTTCAGTGCAGGATCAAGGCCATGCTTTTCTGCTTCGCCTGGTCTGCTCTAATGAGTCTTACTGGCATTGCTGTGTTGGTTTGGGGTGTGATTTTTACTAACGTAGATATGCCAGTAAAGCAGTAGTGTAGACACAGTTATAACGGTGTTTATACTGGTATCGTTTATCCTGATCAGGGAAATCCAATAAGCACTTTTATACCAATATAAATATATCCACACTAGAGGTTTTTGACAGTATAGCTCCTAGCGTAGACCTGATCTACCCTTAAATTTTTTGCCAGTGTAGCTATGTTATCAAGCGTGGAAAAAATCACACCCCATAACTGATCTGATGGTGGTGGCAAAAGCACAAATGTAGATGCAGTTATACAAGCAAAACCATGCTTTTGCTGATATCGTTTATTTCATTTAGGGAACTGATATAAGTTATACCAGCAAATGCACTCTTCCTGGTATAAACGGCACCTCCACTAAGATGGTTTGCTGGTATAGTTACACTGGCAGATCCTTTTCTAGCAGAGACAAGGCCGTAGTGTAGCCTTGATTAAACTGCTTCTCCTTTCATGTGCTGCTGTGTGAAAGATCCATGGAAAATAGCAGGTAGAGTGACCTGATTATACATGGAGTGTGGCTAAAGGCAGTCCACATACTGAAATAATAGAGATCCCCCCCCCCCCCCCGCATGCTAATCTCAATTCTAATAATCTTAGAGGTTACTTGTAAATCACTAGGAACTACATTTTAATGCCTCAGTCCTGGAAAGATTTATGCACGTGTGTACCATTACTCATGTGTGTAATCTCATTGGATTACTCCTCTGACTAAAATTGTGCACATGTGTAAATCTTTCAGGACGTGGGCCTTAATAATTCCTGGAAATTTTCTGCTACTAAAAAGCTCTATGATTCTCTAAAAACAATGGTCACAGTACAGTAGTGTAGAATCCCAGCTCTCCTGTTGTGCAGTGCAAAGCAGGAAAATCAGGGATCTACTATGTATGACTGCGAACATGCACATCATGCTGTCCTTTGTCCTCATTCGCTACCAGAGCCAATCCTGCTAATAGGCAGGATTTGCCCGGTTAACAAGCAGATATTTACAAGAATTTCACTTCCTCATGAGGGACTGCACACCATGCCTGCATGTCTCTGCAATAACAATGAACCCAGTGCCCTGGGCTAGATTTGTATTATAATAGAGCCTGGGAACCCCAGTCACAAATACAGTGCAGACAGGCAGGTCTCTGCCCCCAAAGAACTTACAGTTGAAGTGTAAGATGAGATAACAGATGGTGGGGGAGTACAAGGAAACATTGAGATCGTATTGGTGAACGTGATAAGCTATGGTCTCAGTGCCCTCGCTGCTGATAAGCACTACAGCATTGGTGCCTCATCAGCTGGGCAACTAATGTGGTAAGGTGGATAGGAGTCTTAGTGTGAAGGGGATATTTAACCATTGGAACAACTTGCCAAGGGCTGTAGCGGATTGTCCATCACTGGTAATTTTTAAATCAGGATTGGATGTTTTTCTGAAAGATCTGATCTAGGGGTTATTTGGGGGAAGTTCTGTAGCCTGTGTTATGCAGGTCAGGCTAGATGATCACGATGGTCCCTTCTGGCCTTGGGATCTGACATTTAAGATGATTTTGGGGGAGGGATGGTGTGTGGTACATAGCACTGAACGAGGTGACGTATGTTTTGCTTTTCAGGTGTCCATTGTGGAAGGCATATAACCTCTCATGGGCTGGCGCTGAACTGCTGCACAGATCTTACGTGGTTTGATCACATTGTTCCTTGTGGACTCGAAGGGACGGGTGTCACCTCCCTGAGCGAAGAACTCCAGAGACATGTCACAGTTGATGAAATCACTGAGCCTTTTCTGGACGCTTTTGAAGAAGTGTTTCAGTGCACCCTAACTTCCCATGAGGAATCTATCGGATAAAGGGCTCCAGGTGCCTCACTTACCTGTGGAAATGTGAATATTTCTTTGGTGCTTTCATGGTGTTACTAGAAATCCAGCTTGCTTGTTCCATCTTCCTATCAGCAATTAAATACGTGTAACAAACTGTACTTCTCGCATTTGAAACCTATTTCTTGCTTTTGTAAAAATGAGCTGCTGTGTCTTTAAGTATACATGGGTCTTTAAAAAAAAAACAACGAGGAGTACTTGTGGCACCTTAGAGACTAACAAATTTATTTGGGCATAAGCTTTCATGGGCTAAAACCCACTTCATCAGATGCATGGAGTGGAAAATACAGTAGGCAGGTATATATACACAGTACATGAAAAGATGGGAGTTGCCTTACCAAGTGGGGGGTCAGTGCTAACAAGACAATTCAATTAAAGTGGAAGTGGGCTATTCTCAACAGTAGGATACCAAGAGAGGAAAAATCACTTTTGTAGTGGTAACGAGGCCAATGTAATCAGGGTGGCCCTTTTCAAACAGTTGACAAGAAGGTGTGAGTAACAGTAGGGGGGAAATTAGTTTTTGTAGTGACCCATCCACTCCCAGTCTTTATTCAGGCCTAATTTGATGGTGTCCAGTTTGCAAATTAATTCCAGTTCTGCAGTTTTTCATTGGAGTCTGTTTTTGAAGTTTTTTTGTTGAAGAATTGCCACTTTTAAGTCTGTTATTGAGTGTCCAGGGAGATTGAAGTGCTCTCCGACTGGTTTTTGAATGTTATAATTCTTGACATCTGATTTGTGTCCATTTATTCTTTTGTGTAGAGACTGTGCGGTTTGGCCAATGTACATGGCAGAGGGGCATTGCTGGCACATGATGGCATATATCACATTGGTAGATGTGCAGGTGAACGAGCCCCTGATGGTGTGGCTGATGTGGTTAGGTCCTATGATGGTGTCCCTTGAATAGCTATGCAGACAAAGTTGGCAACAGGGTTTGTTGCAGGAATAGGTTCCTGGGTTCGTGTTTTTTGTTGTGTGGTATGTAGTTGCTGGTGAGTATTTGCTTCAGGTTGGGGGGCTGTCTGTAAGCGAGGACTGGACTGTCTCCCAAGGTCTGTGAGAGTGAGGTATCATCCTTCAGGATAGGTTGCAGATCCTTGTTGATGCGCTGGAGAGGTTTTAGTTGGGGGCTGAAGGTGACGGCTAGTGGCGTTCTGTTACTTTCTTTGTTGGGCTTGTCCTGTAGTAGGTGACTTCTGGGTACCCTTCTGGCTCTGTCAATCTGTTTCTTCACTTCAGCAGGTAGGTATTGTAGTTTTAAGAATGCTTGATAGAGTTTCTGTAGGTGTTTGTCTCTGTCTGAGGGATTGGCGCAAATGCGGTTGTATTTTAGAGCTTGGCTGTAGACAACAGATCGTGTAATGTGGTCTGGATGAAAGCTGGAGGCATGTAGGTAAGTATAGCGGTCAGTAGGTTTCCGGTATTGGGTGGTGTTTATGTGACCATCGCTTATTTGCACTATAGTGTCCAGGAAGTGGATCTCTTGTGTGGACTGGTCCAGGCTGAGGTTGATGATGTGGTGGAAATAGTTGAAATCCTGGTGGAATTCCTCAAGGGCTTCTTTTCCTTGGGTCCAGATGATGAAGATGTCATCAATGTAGTGCAAGTAGAGTAGGGGCGTTAGGGGACGAGAGCTGAGGAAGCGTTGTTCTAAGTCAGCCATAAAAATGTTGGCATACCACTTTAATTGAATTGTCTCGTTAGCACTGACCCCCCCCCCCCCACTTGGTAAGGCAACTCCCATCTTTTCATGTACTGTGTATATACACTTGCCTAATGTATTTTCCACTCCATGCATCTGATGAAGTGGGTTTTATACCACGAAAGCTTATGCCCAAATAAATTTAGTCTCTAAGGTGCCACAAGGACTCCTCGTTGTTTTTGCTGATACAGACTAACACGGCTACCACTCTGAAATGTGTCTTTAAGTATACATTGCATTCTGACACTGATCTTGGCCACCTCGATCTCTTTGTCTTAATGATCAAATGACATACAAAACAGGGCAAAAAAACCAAAAGGGGTTTAATTTTCCTTTACACTAAACCCCCTTTACACCATTTTGGTGGTGTTACAATGCTTTGAAGTGGGTGCAGGTGTAATTTACTCCCACTTAAAGTTCCCAATATACTGCCAGAGCAGTGTGAAGGGGTCATAGCATAAATGGGGATAAAGCCCAGGAATTTCATTGACAAACTAGATGCTGTGTCTGAGCTGAGCTTCCCTGGAGAAGTAAGTTTGAAATTAAAACAGGAAGGGCTGTGTGACTCATGTCTAGCTTGTGATTCATGCTACCAGCCAGATCCATTTCTGCAGTATTCCTGCCTAGGCGGTTATTTCCCAGTATGTATTTGTGCAACTGATTATTCCTTCCTAAGTGTAGTACTTTGCATTTGTCCTTACTGAATTTCATTGCATTCATTTCAGACCATTTTACCAGTTTGTCAAGATCATTTTGAATTCTAATCCTGTCTTCTAAAGTGCTTGCAACCCCTCCCAGCTTGGTATCATCCGCAGACTTATAAGTGTATTCTCCATGCCATTATACAAATCATTTATGAAGATATTGAGTAGACCTGGACCCTGGACAGATTCCTGTGGGACCCCACTTAATATCCCCTTCCAGCTTGACTGTGAAGCGTTGATAATGGCTCTTTGAGTATGCTTTTCCAACCAGTTATGCACCCACCTTATAGTAGGTTCATCTAAGCAATAGTTCCCTAGTTTGTATATGAGCAGGTCATGTGAGATGGTATCAAAAGCCTTAGGCTAAAGTCGAGTTATATTACAAGGCTTGTTATCCTGTCAAAGAAGGATACTAAGCTGGTTTAATGATTTGTTCTTTGACTAATCCATGTTGACTGTTACTTATCACCTATCTTCTAGGTGCTTACAAATTGATTTTTTGATTATTTGCTCCATTATCTTTCCAGGTAACAAAATTAAGCTGATTGGTCTGACTGGTCAGACTAATTCTTTAATTTGTCAGGGTCATTTTGAATTCTAATCCTGTCCTCCAAAGTGCTTCCGTTCCTCCTTTCAGCTTGGTGTCATTCTCAGATTTTATAAGCATGCTTTCCACTCCATTATCCAAGTCAGTAATGAAAATATTGACTAATACTGGACCCAGGAGTGACCCCTGTGGGATCCCACTAGATATGCTCTGGTTTCACAGTGAACCCTTAAGAACTACTCTCTGAGTTCAGTCTTTCAATCAGCTGTGCACCCATGTTATATTATTTCATCTAGACCACATTTCCCTAGTTTGCTTATGAGAATGTCACATGGGACTGTCTCAGAAGCCTTACTAAAATAACCATATATCACGTCTACTGCTTCCTTCCTATCTGCTAGGCTTGTAACCCTGTCAAAGAAGGAAATTAGGTTGGTTGGCGTGGTTTGTTCTTGAAAAATCCATGCTGGCTATTCCTTAGAACCCTATGATTAAAAAAAAATTAAAATTAAATTAATGGAGATAACCTATCTCCTAGAACTGGAAGGGACCTTGAAAGGTCATCAAGTCTAGCCCCCTGCCTTCACTAGCAGGACCAAGTACTGATTTTGCCCCAGATTCCTAAGTGGTCCCCTCAAGGATTGAACTCACAACCTTGGGTTTAGCAGGCTAATGCTCAAACCACTGAGCTATCCCTCCCCCCATGATCATTTAGGTGCTTACAAATTGGCCATTTAATATTGATGGTTCGAGTATCTTTCCAGGTATTGAAATTAGGCTGACTGGTCTATAGTTCCCCAGGTTGTCTTCTTCCCCAAGAAGAAGGATACCAGGAGCGTGTAATGGAATTGAACCAAATATTTATTAATAACCTCATTAAACTATTTTTTTTAGTGAATTCCCTTCTGGCATTTACAATGCCTGGGTCCTCATCTTGCAATAACCTCTGCTCAGGTGAACCGCAGTGCAGAGCTCCCATGACTCTACTGGGTCTCCATACAGTCACACTGCTCTGTCCATGTAGTGGACCCTTGCAGGATTGGGACCTTAGATCTCTCCCGGTCCGGAAGACTTGGACAACTGGGAAAGTGACAAGATTATCAAAATCCTGAAATCAAAAAATGGGAGGAAGTGTTGTCTAGTGGACTCGGCACAGGACTGCGACTTAGGAGATGTGGGTTTGGGTCAACCACAGACTTTCTTTGTGCTTACTTGGGAGAGATTTCCAAAGGCACAGAGGACAGTTAGGCACCGAATGCCCATTGAAAGTGACTGGGAGTTGGGTACATAACTGATTCAGGCCTTTGCAAATATCTCCCCTTAGCCTCTCCATTCTCAGTTCCCCATCTGCAATGAGGATAATACTTTCTTACCTCACAGGGGTGTTGTGAGGATAAAATCTATTGATGACTGTGAGGCGCTCAGGTAGAGCCCTGCATGGATACAAAATTTGTATCCACATCCAATCCACAATCCGCAAACATGATATGGAGATATCGGCAGATTTGCAGGGCTTTATACTCGGGTACTACGGTGATAAGGGCCGCCTAAGTGCCTAGATAGGTATCGGCTGCCATACAAATGAAACCTGGTTAACGAAGCGGGGGAGTGATTGTTATTCAGACTGTTTAACTCAACCTGACACATAGCTGGAAGGAAAGATCTTGATTCAACACCCACGTAAATCGATTAGTGGCTGCAAGAGCTGACACCCCAGTTCTTATGGCCCTGCAAGGGCATGTGCAAGTCATGATTTGATATTCCTAAAGTAACAAGAAAAAAGCAGCCCCCCACCCCCCAACTGCATTTAAAAAAAAATGGTCCCCTCCCACCTCCTTTGCAGTCATCTTTAACAGCATATGTATTTTTAGTGTGAATCTAGTGCATGCAGGTTAAGGCTGCTATAGTTTTCTTTGGGATTGTCTGTAGAAGACTCTTAAGGAAGTGCCCCGTCACCCTCAACGGGCTCCTCCTTGTCTATCAAACATAAGCTACTTGTCTTCACTTTCAAGGCCTATCCTCACCCTATCTATCATTTCTCATTCATCACAGATGTCAACTCCTACCTTCATTCATCCTATGATATTCATTGCTGTGACATTCCCCAGGGTACAATCTGGACTGATGGACAGCGATGTCCCCTTAATTCTA